ACATGCTTTGTCGGGTCAAGCAAACAATGTCCACCACACACCACCAGTTTCAGAAACTTTCAAGTACACACAAAACACACACCTGATCTCAAAGTCAATGTTGGCTTCATAAGCCTGGTAGCTTTGGGTGGCGAAGTTTGCAAATTTAAAGCCCTGCTCAAGAAGACGCTTCGCAGGGGCAATCAGACGCGGCATTGCCATAGTGATTAACAGAAAGTCATGAGGTTTGTTTCCATGGTAATGATACATACCTTAGCACAAATAGGGAAAAGTCAGTCAGCTATAATACATGATAAAAACAGTTCCACTTACAATATTGTTAGCTGGGGTCAGTAAGATTGTTAGTTTGAAAGAAATGAATTTAAAAAATGAATTAAGAGGATGCATTAAATCGATCAAAAGTGACAGTAAATACATTTCTAATGTTTCAATAAAATGCTGTTCTTTTGAACTTTCTATTTATCAAAGAATCCTGAAAAAAATTAACACGTTTTCTACAAAAATATTTAGCGGAATAACTTTTTTCAACACTGATCATAATAAGAAATGTTTCTTGAGCAGCAAATTGTCATATTAGAAAGATTTCTTAAGGATCATGTGACACTGAAGACCGAAGTAATGAATTAAAATAGAAAACAGTTATTTTAACTAATAATATCACAAAATTACCATTTCTACTGTATTTAAAAAAAAACTTAACGACCTCAAACTTTTGAATGGTAGTGTATACACACACAAACTTTCACTAAGATGACTTACTTTCCTTCTTGGTGATGTCCACTGCCAGCACAGTGACCGCTATGTTGTCTTTATTGGACCGCATATCCTTCAATACAGCAGAGTTCAGCTCTCTCTGAAACTCAGCCAAGTGTGCATTTGTAAAACCTGAGAAAGACACAGACATACCGTGAAATCATGAAAGATGTGTTTAATTTGTCTCAATGACACTGAGCAGATTCCTGTAATTGTCAGCTCACCGTTGGGAGCAGGAACATAGAAATACGGGGCAAATCCATGAACATGGCAGCACACGCTATTTCCACTGTCTGTCACACCAAACATGCGCACTATGGGCACTTTACCCTGTACCTGCCCGGGCATTCCCGCTACCGCGGATCCTAAACACCAGACAACAAACAACACACTGAGGAAAAGATCTTATGGATTTTTATGTGTGCATTTGTGAGAGAGGATGTGTCTCTCACCCAAGTAGTAATCCAGGTCCATTTGCTGAAATATTAGTGTGTCTGAGTTTGGTTGAAGAGGAGGTGCATGAGGTCGTTTCCAACGTAGATTAAGATCAGCAGAGAATAAGTCACCTGAGCAAAAGAGGATAGATCATGTATGGATGATTTTAGATCTTTTTTCCTATAAGATTGTTATGGGATTGGCTTAATTTTTCTTTTTTGTATTGTATTGCAACTGTATTCATGGGTTGGTTTTTGTGAGTATAATGAACGCAGCTTAATTAATTACAAAGTCACAGACAAAACACATACTTACCCACTGGAATGACATCATGACCTGCCTGGCCCTCCTCTGACTCCGCCTCCATTTCCATGTCATCAAATAGAGCGAGTTCCTCTTCAAACTGGGAGGGACTATCCTCCCATTCGGTGCTCATTTTCCCCTTCTTGGCCTGTGAAGCCCCGCCCATTGCAGGGCCTCCATTGCGCCTTTTAAAGTCCATTCTAAAGCAGCCCTGCAAAAACAATGTCAGCTTTTTATGAGCAAATCAAACACTTAAAAACAGTCACTTCTATCTTGCCAACTGAATATGTGTTGAACTCAGGTATGGGTAACAACAAAGCATACAATTTATAAAGGAATATAACAAAGTGAAGACATAGTGCACGTCACACGATTAAACGTCTCAAAAATAAAGAATAACATCAAAACAACCTTAAGGAATAATATTAAAAATGATATGACGGCCCTTCATCTTCATTTGCATAAAATGGGCGGGGCTAATGAAACAGGCGTACAAATTAGTAAAGGAGTCTTTCAAATTAAGCTGCTTAACTGTCTGTTCATACTTTTCTGGAGTCTGACAGAAATGTTACGAATAAAACTACAGTGATCTGCAAAACGTACTCTGTCACTAGTCCCACTTAGAACTATTTAGAAGCTATTGTTATTGATGATCTGGGTGTCTTTAGGTTGGGTCAACATCATTGTTGTTAAGTATTGTGCATAATCAGCAATATTTCGTTTAACACGCAACATACACAACGTTCAGATTGTTTAAGTTTTGCACACAAGTATTATTTCAACTATAATTAATCTTGATTGGTAATCCAGCAAACAAAATAAACATTTATTCAGCAACAGTAAGATCACATAAGCAAGATTTAGGCTCATAATGTTTACTTTCACATTGCGTATTATGAAATACTACACTAGGAGAACTGGACAAACGAGAAGCTTAGCAGAACATGTTAGCAACACGCAAAACAACAAAGAGGCGCCGCAAACTCGCGCGAGGTGCATCAGGCAATCTAATATATTGAGGTGAACTCTAGCCACTGAACAAATTCATAATCTTTCACCTTTTATTCCAGCTCGATCGCTATTACTCCACATATGTGCTTGACAAATCTCCCGCCACTTCACAGTGTTGCGTGTCAGTTTCCACCGGACCAGAGCAACATCCGTTTTCCCGGTAAAATTGCGTAGGGTCCACGAAGGACTGCAATTGGTCGAAATGTAGGAAGTGAATCGATTGTATATTGACGACGATTACTGCCATGTTGAGAGGGTCGTGTTTGAGAAGAGCGAATAAAAACAATGTTTTAATAAATAAATAGATAATCGAATGTGTGTCAGAATTAGAAAAATAATAATAATAATAATAATAAAGCCACAAATGAGCGCTTACAGTTTAAATGCAGCCAAAGAGCTCTTTGTACTTTCCCCATATCTAGATATTTATTGAAATACTTGATGCTGCTGTTATACGTGAACATGAACCTGAACTGTTTACTTAACCCTCTGGGCCTCTTCGGTCATTTTTGACCGAAATAATGTATATTTCGAACTTTAAAAAGTCGTGGCTTCATCGGAATGAGATGACACTTGGTGACTGTTGTCACATTAGCCATGTGAACACACAAAAATAGGAAGTGATGACAAAAATGACCGACAAACGAAATGAATGGGAAATACGAAAAAATACGAAAACTCAGAGAATCTTTTGGTGGTACAAACTACAAATCAGCCACTGTGCAGAACAAAAGTGCACAGCAATCAAGGGGTGTCTCTCTAAAATATCAAGAGTGCAAAATAGACACACACACACACACACACACACACACAGAAAGAGAGAGAAATTAACTGGTAAGACTGCAACAGAGCACATTTTTTAGAATATGTGGAATAAAATGATTAAATGAAAAAAAAAATACAAAAGATTCTCTCTCACACACACACACACACACACACACACACACA